AACTTAGACAGTGTAAAGTTTTCTTCAATTTATAGATGTTTGCATAGACACAATAAACAAAAGGGTGCAAATTGGCTATCGGGGGGATTCAGGGATAATGATTGCGTGGCAAAGAGAGAGAGTGCGATGGCCGTTTCTTTAAGCCAGTGATTGTTTGTTGATATTTTAATTCACTCCTCTGTGCACAGCTTAACCTTGTTTGTAATATAGAAAATAATGGTCGTGGGACTCTGTGTTTATGTCATTGGGCCAACTGGCACGTCCTGAAGGCTCAGCGCAATAGGAAGAAGAAGCACATAAAGAGCTGAGGGAGTGCAGGACAAGTCCAAGGAGGGCTGCAGTGAATTTAAGGGAGCTGTCCCTATCCTGCGTTATTATGGAGCACTAAAGCTTTGTCTCTGCTCCCTGTTTCAGTGGACCCCAGGGGTTCTGGCATCGATCGACTGTGCTCAGAATGCACTCTGGTGTCACCTATTTAAACACAGCCAGTCGCCGCCAACACACAGCCCTTATTTATCAAGCCTCTGATTTTGGCTGCACAGATGACAACCTGATTAGTGCTTAAAGGAGCTCCTAAATCTGTTATCGGAGACAGGAAGAGAGAAGTGGCGTAAAGAGGTGTAGACAGCGGGGCGGGCTGAAGTCATGATGCGTGAAGGAAGGTGAGTGCCAGAGATTGAAGCAGAGCATCTACAAAAATGACTGAATGAACCATCAAGAAACTTCTTTTATCTGATCAATTTCAACTTAAAAGTCTTTCCAGTACAAAGTAAAGTAACTTCCAAAGTGCACGTCCCATTTAACAAGAACCGCTTACTCTGGACTGAGACAAAGGACCATGTGATGCCAATAACACTATCTTGCTTGTGTTTGTGTGAGAGCATGCACGCCAGCCAAATGAATGGGTGAGCCATGCTGGCGCGGCCTAAGTGAGCGCGTAATGGGGGTTAGTGATAGCTGTGTTGACAGAAAGTGTCAGCTTTAACCACACTGACCCGCCGATCCGGGCCGCATGCACAAGTGGCTGAGTCTCGGTGCCAGCTTGGACGTGTTCACACTGCAAAAACTGGATGTGAATTTCTCGGTTGGACGTGAAATGCATGCAAACAGGAAAAAGTAGGTGGAGGGTGTCTCTGCGCGGATCTGCATGTGTCAGTCGCCTGTCGTGTCTGTCACAGCAGCTCCAGGCCTGGAAGAAGAGCATCGAAGCCTTGTCTCTGGCTCATAAATGTAGACACAGCTCAAAGCCTCATTTCATTTCAGGGTAATTACACTGAGTTGGATTGCTCTGCGTTTGGTGGAGGGTGGACGGTCATCTGGGATTCCAAGTTATCATTTGTGCTTTTGTTTCTTAAGATTAAATAGTATTAAGTAATTATCCCACAGGCCTTGGCAAACTGGGAAACCATGTTGTTCTATTAGATGGGAGTATTTTCTCGGCTTACAGGGAACTGATACCACATTGGTTTCAAATGTTAGTGAATGGTGACATTAAAAATATAAAAACAAACACCTCAAAAATGAAAAACATCTTTTTCACTTACAAAGGGTAATCTTCCATCTCCTTGTGCTGCCTTTAGAAAGGACAAAGAGATCTGTTTATTAACCAGGGTTATTTGACTTTGGTGCTTAGAAAATGAATCAGTCGATGTAATACTATAGTCGACCAAAATATGTATTAATCATATTTGAATGATAAGGATTTACTTTTAAAAAACAGTAGACATCAGAAAGTATGGAGCAGTTGTTTAGATTTATTTTGCATTTAAAAGCAGGCAAACTATTCAAAAATAATTGTAATAATACACATTTTAATGATGCAGTCATTGTAACCTGATTCTTTAGCTGTTTTGCATGTTGTTGCTGCAACGCTGGTCGTTCAGATATGACCATAATACCTTCGAGAGATTATGTCACGCCCCGTTTTAGTCGACCTGTCCATCCAACTGGAATGTCTGCATGTCTTTAAGCATTCCTTTGGTCGACGACAGCCCTGTAAAAACTGTATTGTGTTGTGGAAGGATACAAGGACAAAGGAGCAGAACTGCCGCCTGTCTTGTGGCCAAGTTACACTGAAATCTGCCCCCTCTCACCTCGTTCCTGTCACTAAACAATGCCATTTGAATACGCTCACATTTTCATCCGTCCCACTTGTCCTCTTTGCTTGTGCTCATCACCTGGTCCTCTATGCCTCTAGCCCTCTCTCCTCTGTGGGTGTATAGCGTGCCTGTCTGACCCTATCCCGCTCTCCTTCACGAATCATGTCTTGGTGATCAAACTACATTATTTATGCTGTATTGTCTTCCTGCATCACTCTCCACAATGGAACAATTGTGAGAGAGATTTTCTTGTTTGCCACAAAAGCAGCAGCAGCAGCCGCAGCAGCAGTGAGACTCAGGCAGAGGTTGGAAATGGGATTAGCCTTAAAAGGAATTTAATTTTCACCGTTGTTGTCTCTGAAGCCTGTCTGCCACCCAGACAGCGTGACGTGCCCCGCTCAATGCTCGCAGCGCCGCGTTGTGTGAGAGATTACCTCCGCTGTACAAATGGCAGAATATGATGAACTTGTGAGACTGGTTTGTGAGGCTCTGCTCCACTTCAGCCTGAAAAAAAAATGTGGGGCTTGAATTTTATGTTTATATTCTGCGTGGCTGAACATTGACCCAACTCTTTACTCCCGAACACACATGCAGACACTATTTTATTACCCTCCTCAATCCCACTCATCCATCTGGTCTGTAATTTCATTAAGATTACATTTGCATAACAGGGGTGTCAAAGTGGTTCTAGAAAGGTTTTAATTCCAACCAAGCAGGAGCACACCAGTCTCCACCCATTTTCTCTTGTGCGTCCAGTCTTAACCTAGTGATCTTACAGTAGGAAATGGATGGAGACTGGAAGCACACAACCCGATTTTTATCACTACCAAACATCATACAATACAATCCTAACAGAAAGAGGCTGCTGGAGTGCTGCACAAGTCCATTTAGAGTTTCTGAAGTATTGCACCAGTGCTTTTCTAGTTGTGGATTAGGCAAGTTATATACTACGCCCCGCAGAAGGCCTACAGTATGTAAGACCTTGGCGTTTTTGTAATTCTACGAGCCATGATTTGTTTAAGGCTTTTTGAGATTTTCACAAGCCATGAGTGCCTCTGTCCTTCTACTATACATACCCCAAAGTGTGAAATACTTGTTGAAGCTGTCTGGGTTATAAAAACAGTGTTACTGTGATCAAATGTATCTCTGTAAAGGCTTGAATAATTTTCAAAGTTTTCTTACAATGAAAGTAAATACAAATATTATGATTTCACATCTCCCGTTGGATTAGGTTATGATGTATACAAGTTTTCCAATGGCGATTTCATTATCAACACTACTTTTTGTTCCATAGATTTAGTGATTGGCATGTGTTTTTTTGTTGTTGTTGCAAGGTAGTACGCTATCCAAGCCTGCATTGGATAGACAGACACGACGAGATGGACAAAGCATTTTATTCACACTGTTCTGAACACACTTGCCTTTTATGTGTAGTGTAAGCGGCTGGCATTTCCAAGCTCGTCTAACTTCTGCTGTTTCCTCTGCATCTGGTTTCCTACCGTTTGCCGTGGAAGGATGAATAGTCCGTTTACAATCTCGAGCTCTGTCGCCTGCTGCGGAGTTTCAGTGAAATCCAGAAATGAATGTATGTATAAGTAGATAAATGAGTGAGTACTGTTGAATAGTAAATCAATGCTATAGAACGGAGCCGGACTGTACTCTGTAGATGAAATAAACATGGTGGTTCTGTGTCAGCATGTGTCTGTCAGGGAGGCACAGTGGGGGGCCTTCTGCTGTGAGACCCTTACCACTGTATGAGCCGGAGCTGTGTGAGACTTTGTCCTTGGAGGGATGGACTAGGCCATTTCTCTTATTACTTCAATTTTTTACATACTTGTCTTGAGATTTCAGCTTTTTTCTGCATTTCACAATCACTGACTTAATACTTGAATGATGAAAAGCAAAGAAGAATTGTCCTAGCCTTGGCATGGCCTTGCTCTGAGCTCAGCCCCCATCATGGACAACACCCTCAAGCGAGTCTCAGTCAAGTCGTGAGCAGAGAGCATGAGGAATGTATAATGGAGGCACATTGGCTTACACAGTCCTCGCTTGTTGCTTTTTTTCAACAGTTTTTAGCAAACATTTAAGTTTATTAAAGAAAGCCCCTTGAGAGGAATCATCTCATTTTTGAAGGAGGAGGGAATGAAGGATAAACGATGAGTTTAAAGGGGACTTGGTAGACAATGCATGGCGCCGTAAAGATGGCGCCGTTGCAAGAGCTCTGGTGTGTGTCGTCTGGTGCACACTGGGGTAGTCTTGCACAGTTTTTCCTATGTGGTTTTTATGCAAATGGCAAATAAATGAATCTGAATCTGAATCAATAATACTCTCTTGTGTGGCCATACCCCACATACTTCTCAAAGCCTAATCTTTTCAGATCGCAGAAGCTAAGCAGTGAAGGGCCTGGTTAGTACAGGGATGAGAGCCTGTGGTGTCCTTATTAGACAGAGGAAGTTTATTCTCCTGCTTTCACACCATCGCTCCCCTCCTCCTGGCGCTGCTTGAAGTAGATCACTGAGTTGTGATAACATTTCAGGTGGAAATATAGATTGCAACTATCTGTCTAAGGTTAAGGTAAATGGAAATAGATAACATTCTTGAAAAGTATTAGAATATTCGCACTGTAGAGAGGAAAGCTATTTTTGCACTTTGAGGCATTAAAAAGGCTATGTGTGGTTCACTGGTAACTCTGGCTGAATACTTGCAGTTCATTACAAACATTTAAACCCTATTTTGTCAAACCTTTTTCTTTGTAAATATTTCTATTAGAATATCAAATGGCATTTTTCTTTTAACAACCTATGCAGTGTGATATATCATTGAGAGCGTCAGGTTAGGACCTAAGCTTAGCACTTATTTTATATCTTACATATGCATTGAGGAGGAGAAGACAGTTGAGCCTCAGAACCCAAGGATGTGCACCGTGCACCAATCCAGCTTCGGCGAGCACGCACCTCCTGGTCGCGCCTGATACGGGATCAAACAACCCTCTGCCTCCCGTCGACACTCGCTGCAAACAAGCGCACTGGCCACGAGCGTTAGCGTTTGTGTTTGGCCGTGCAGCATGGGGCGGTGCTTTGGCAGAAGAAATTAAGCCTAACAACCGTGGCATCTGTCTCAGCAGCAGGAGAGTCCCGCCTACCCACCCACTCATGACCTGCCCTGCTTTCATTCACTGAGCGAGTTTCCTCCCCCCCTCCTCCTCCTGTCTTTCTCAGTCCAGGCCTCTGCGCCTCACTGCCAGCCATTCTGTGCCCATGTTCCTGCCGTCCCCCTCAAGCAGCCACCAGGAGAACAGTGATATAGCTGCGTTCAAATATTCATAACAGCCACACTGCAACAAGGGCCACTCTGCTCCCCTCCATTTTGAGACGTGAGACGTAGCTTTGCTTCTTTGTGCTCCTGTGGTGTTGTCACACTACAGTACATTTCAAACTCCATTTGCATACCAGGACAGTTACCAATTTTGATACCACTGTGATTTTTTATGAATACTCTTTGTTTTACAAAACACTGTTTTTACTAAAAATAGTTTACTATACTTTTTGGCAAGTTCTTTTGGTGTAATTTAAAAATCCTTTGGGCCGACCGAGTGCTGGTGTGACCATAGTGTGAGCCTTAATGAGGAAGAGGCAGCTAAGAGCTAGTGAGAAAGACTATTGTGGCAAAACGTAAACAAATTGTGTTAACCGCAATGCCCGAGTTACCAAGCTAAAGCCAAATTCGGCGACAGGAGGGCTCCTGTTTGTAAATTGCAATATCTGCCCTAACAATTGACCAAAGACAATATTGCAAAACAAAAACCAGGATCAAAGAGAGCACTAAACCACAGATTATAAACGCCCAAAATGTACAGTGCAGCACAAAGGGTCACTGAGCTAGACAAGTTTACATTTCAATGTAAATCAATAGGAACCAGAACGAGTTGGAGTAAAACTTAATCCTTGAGCTCTTTCCTATTGGGCTTCATTGACTGAGGCAGTTGGCTGTTATGTGCAGCTGTGTACTGTCTATGGTTGAAATGTGTTGGTGCGTGTTTTCTGCCATGTTACAATAACAACGTTATAATCATGTCCAAGAAAACATTATTCCATTGGACTCTTTGTCCTTCTGAGAATCACAGCTATCTATGCTTTTACTCAGAAAGATCCAGCGCTTTTTACTGTAAATATACCAACTCTTTTGTTGTGTTGTTGTATTGCCTTTTGATCATCATCACATTAACAATAGCAAAGTGAAACCTAAGGTAAATAGCAAATCATAACATCAATAGAAGTATTTTGCAATGTACATAAAACGTACTCTCTAAACAAAGTGATTCCAACAATTAGCATTCATGCATCTTACAACAATTAGCATGAATGCATCGGTTTTATATAGCACTTTTCAGCAGAACTCAAAAACACTTTGAAACTCAAAGAAGATTTTGTCATAATAGAATTTTCAACATAATTCATTTTCGAAGTATCCTCTTAACCCAGTAACAAACTACTCTTGACACTTAAAGCCAACCAAGAGGAGTAAACTAGCACAAGATGCAAAGTAGCCACTGCTGCTATACTTCACCACAGGCGCTCATACTGGGCCAGCGCTTAATACATGTGAAGACTATAAAGCTTATAATGTGTTTTTTCTCGTGCTCGAACACCAATAAGCAGGTCTGAAGGGAAGAGGCAGCTACTGGGGAGAGAGGCCGCCTTTTAACAAGTGCTTCTAATGACTTGCTGCAAAATGTCTGTAAATGAATTCTACAACTATTATATTCTTGCATTATGCCCTAGTGGGAAGAGTGGGAAGTAAAATGGCTAAAAGTGTACTAAATTAGAAGTACCGTTGCCAAAAATGTTCTAGAATAGGCAGTTACACGTGAATAACACATTGTTTTCTAATGAAAGCGCTTTTTAATCCCGCCCCCACCAGTTCCTGATTGGTAGACAGCTGTAGATCACCTTTGCTAATCAAACCGCTGATGCTAATTCCAAGACCAGGGATTGTATTAACTATATTTTTCATGAACAATGCTTAACTATAGAGTCATAAATATGTTTCATTGCAGTTCTTGCGGACATCACCTTTGAATTGTTTTCCACGTCTGCCATGTTGTTGTTTTTTTGGTGGCACTGGTGGTAACTTACTCCTCCCCCGATGAGAGTTCCAAGGTTTTTTCCCCTCTTCATGCAGTTATCTCGAGATTATTTCTCTGGGGGCGAACTGTGTACTCGCCATCACAGTGTTATCTGTCTCATCAGAATGCCTGGTGATGACTGAGGGCTCACGGCAAACAGGCGGCCCCCGGGAACCACAGCTTTTAGGTGCAAAGATGAGGATCACGTTCTGTGATTGTATTTGTGGAAAGTTATGTCTGTGATCTTTAACATCAGGTCAGTCTTCCTATTTATACATTTCTATGGACATTGGTCATGTGCCTCTTATGGACCAATGGCTCCTTTGTGTTTGTTATTACTGCATTTTCTGTGTTTGAACTGTTTCATTCTCTGCTCATCGTTGGAGTTTTGGCAACTTTGTAAAGTCCTCAGAGACGACTGCTGTTGTGGTTGGAAATTCCAAATGAATTTGAAATTGAAATAATGAGCAAGAACGTGTTCCGTTCTAGAGATGGATTGATTCATTTTTTTCCAAATATTGAACAATATTGATTGATTGAATATTTTATTTTTGTAAAATTTGGCTAAAAATAAAGTGACATAAAGTGTTACATAACGTGTATGCATACAAGCTACAGTGTATACACTGTTCAGAAACTGCTTCAAATTAACATAATCTTCAAGGGACTAAAAATTCATGATTTTATAAAATAGAACATTTCTTGTGCTGCTCATTTCTCAATCTATGAAACACTTCAGGGGGAAGGCGGTAGTGCATGCAGGGAACAAAGACTTTATAAATTAAAACCATGTTTGAAGGCAAATTGTTAAAACTACGTGAAAGGTACATAGAGAGGGAACAACACTCTCATAATTAGGTTTGTCCAGCTTTTTTATGAATCAGCAGAACTTTTATATTATATTTTGTGTGCAAGCATATTTACAAAGCTTTCTGATCTCTGTATTCTGTGTATTTCTCTGCCTTCTGACATAAAACCCTGTATAGGTCATCATCTGTCCAATTGCATAAATTATTTGCCAACTAAAATACAGATTTTTCATTTATAGACACAGTTTTAAGCTGCCGTCGATGTCCTGTATTATTCTAATTTGGAGAAGCACAAACACATTTATTTATCTCGTTTTTTATACTCCAGGCCTCCTTTGTTAATTTGAATGAAAGCTTCATTTGTAAAGCATTGCCACAAATGGAAATGCTTGTTTCACACAAAGTAATTTATCCACATTTCTTCTAATAGGTTTACCATACTTTTCCAATCATTATGAAAGCGGAGTCTGAATGGCAAATCAGGGAAACGCTGTAATCTCTCACAAAGAAGATTGGTATTCGTTTCTCTGTCCGTAGACCTCAGTCGCTGTCTCCGTAGTCTTATCACGGTGAGGTTTGAGCCTTTAACAGCCGGGCCACCGCTTAATGTAGCAGTCAGAGAGGTTATCATCTCACCTGGTCGCCCTGTCTCCTGTCCCCATACCTTCTAAGTGGCACGCCAACTTCCTCCGAGACAAGGACGGCATGAAAAAGACATAAAGGCCCTTATTAAAGCAGTCTTTTATACCCTCCTACAGAGACCTCGCGAATCGCCGTTTTAACTAGAGGGCAGTCAGTAAAGAGGAAAAGGTATTTGAAGTAAGGTTGAGGTTATATTCAGCAAAATTACATATTTAAAAAGCTATAAATGTTGTCTCTTCGTCTTTCATGCATTTTTGCCATCCGTGCTTTCATCAACCACAGAGCCTACTATCGATTAACTTTTCTCATATTTCTGTTTCTGATTTGGGGATACATTTAGGATTAGTCAGCGTAAAAAAGAGCAGTGCTGCATTTTTCATCATAGAAGTCAGTCATGTCTGTATTATTAATGCATGACATCAATATTGTGAATTACTCTGAAATGTCCAGAATCTATAATAATGATCCACAGATGTCATAGAGCAGAAGACCACACCATCATATGCTTCAAACTTCAACATAACAAAACAGAAAGTTATTACAATCCAGCTTTCGTTGCCAGAATCGTCTCACCTGTGACTCAAGTACAGTATCTTGGACTACAAAGGGAACCACCTCGAATTGAGCTAGAAAAGGTAGAAACACTGTGCTTTAAGTATGATTACTAATTTTTGCGTCCGCTTTCATTAAACGAACGTGTGATGCTAGGTTCTTGTTTAAAAAAATTATAAAAGTAAGTAAGTAATCTTTATTTATACAGCGCCTTTCACAGACCACAGAGTCACAAAGCACTTTTGTTCGTATCTCATTCCACACAGAGATGAGAGTGAGGTCGCCAGTACAGGAGGCACATGCCAGACCTATTGTACATGTTTTTAGTGGTGGGAGAAACCGGAGAACATGGAGGAAACCTACTCAGTCACGGGGAGAACATGCAAACTCCGCCCTGTTTCGACCAGTGCTATCCATTCCTCCACCGAAAAAAGCAGCGAGAGAGACTAGAGAGAGAGAGAGACTGGATTACAAATACTATTATCTGGGGACATGAATAAAAAGGAAAATAGTAATAAAAAAATAATTTAAAATATAACTATTTCATGCCGTCCCTTTAAGGAAAAATCAAGGTTTGCAGTTTCATTATCTACTATTTTTTGCAATTGCCACATATTGTTTCAGAGTCACAATGCTCTCAATTCAAGATATAACAATGACTACAACTTTATTAGCTCATATTTGATATCTTTTCTGCATTGCATTTGTCACCAGAAAACACAGAATCGACTCGGATCAAGATACCACTTTCTGTTCAAGCTATTTTCGCTTATGGCAGATGATCCTCACTCAGAGACTACGGTGTGGCCTGAGTGATGAGAAAGTGCTAAGTGATGTGGGTGTACATGCAGACAAAAGTCAAAGACATAAACACCACTGTATTCGCTTTAAGACCCGACGTGACATATTTACATTTAACCTGAAAGTGGGAGGCGGTAAGATGAAAAAGATTGCGCGGTAATGGTGGGAGACGGCCTGTGAGGTGTGCCAAGGGTGATGCAAGGAGAGGAGGGGGAGGTCTATGGGCGAGAGGAGCAAAAGTAATGTAGGGAGACAAATAGAAATGGTGGGCAGTGAAGGAACAGAGCATATGTGTGTGTGTGTGTGTGTCTGTCTGTGT